ATTGAAGGTGCACTGCCTGGGATCCAGAACAGAAGGTTAACATGAACAAGACCAGCATTCATCCTTCAGTAAACTGGACCTCAGGCTGAACAGGAGGTCCCCACAGCTCTCCTATAAATTAACCCTCTAGAGACCGGGGGTGGGCCGGGAGGGGTGTGGGGACAGGAGACCTGCTCCAGGACACACTGGAAGTCACCTCATTTTGATACAAAGTTAAAGAAGGGCTAGAGCCCTACTTCAGTGATCGAATACTCGCTCCCTAAATGCGAGGCCCTGAGTTCCATCACTAGGCATCCAGTAGTATTTTGCAAATATCCGCAATGTCTGAGACTTTTGAAAGCTAAGGCCAGGGGTTGCAAAGCAAACCTAATAAAGAACAGTAATCACTGCAGATACCGAAGACCTAGCAGAGGTGAGAACTCCTGCTGGTTCAAAGAAACCCTTACTTAATCCACGGACACAGTACAGAGAAACCATCCTGCTTCCTCCATAACAAGGCAGGAATACTGACAACAGATCTTCAGAGAAAAATGTGAGGAGCAAGGAAGACAAAGAACACCTCAAGGCCTCCAGTAATCTGTGAAATGCTGCATCTAAAGCCAAGTCCAGGGCTGGGGATTTAGCTCAGTGGTTCAGTGGCCTGCCTTGCAAGCCCAAGGACCTGAGTTCGATCCCCAGTACCAAAAAAATAAAATTAAATTGCACTAAAACATATACTGCCATGAATCACCCTCAAATTGACCCCCACTTCAAACACACTCATCCCATCATTCTTGCCACTTTCTGAAGCACTTCTGGAAGTCCTCTAGCTGCCTCAAAGTCCTGAATCGACTGAAAGCATTACCTTTCATGGTCCTCTTCCTGCTGAAAGGCACAGCCATCTACTAGTGACCTTCACCAGTTACCAAGTCCCATGGTTTCCAATCTCTGATGCCTCCTGGAAGTGCTCTCCCTGCATGCCCATTGACACAGCCCCGCCCTTTGAGTCTGGACAAACTGTCCTGTGCTACAACAGACAGCACCCCACAGGAGAAGGGGCTTAGCAATAACCTCCAGCCTACTTTTTTTTTTTTTTTTTTGGTACCCAGGATTGAACTCAGGTCCTTACACTTGCAAGGCAGGCCACAGAACCACTGAGCTAAATTCCCCGCTCTCCAGCCTACTTTTTAAAAGAATGACACTGTTGTAAGAGCTTCACACATATACACTGCAATGTGTAATCCTTACAACATTTCCATGTTTTAGGCGGTGAAATCAAGACATAAGTAAGTCAGCATATTTGCCCAAGATCATAGTGTTTAGTGCACCTGGATTCAAAACAAGGTGGACTCCAGAGCCTTCGCATTAACCACAATGCTCTATGGCTGCCTAACAAAGATGACGAGTTTGAATGAAGAATCAACCCCATCAAATGAGAGAGAGACTGAAAAGCACCCATGGAATTCTGCAATCAAAACATCAGCAGAGTGGTAAATGAAATCCCCTTCACTAGTGTGAGGGGCAGAAACCACCTCACACAGGCTGAAGAGTGAGAAAACAGCACACTTAATAGCTACCACTTAAAGTATGCCACACCAACACACCAGGAACCATGCCAGGTGCTTTGCATACATCTTTTTTGTGGGGAGGGGTTACTACAAATTGAACTCAGGACCTTGAGCTTGCCAGTCAGGTGCAGTGCCACTGAGCTAAATCCACAGCCCCACGCATTATATTTTTTAACCTTCTACACTGCTAAGTAGATGGTGGGGGGCGTAACCAGGGATAGAACTTGGGACCTTGGGCTTGCAAGGCAGGCGGTGGCACCACTGAGCTAAATCCCCAGCCCACAGGTAGGTATTACTGTCCCCCACCCTTTTTTTTTTTATTTGAGGCAGGCTCTTCCTTTGTAGTTCAGGCTGGCCCTGAACTCAGTATGGGGCCCAGGCTGGTGTCAAACTCATAGCAATCCTCCTGCCTCAGCCTCCCGAGTACTGGGATTACAAGCATGTGTCACCACACTCAGCTTATTACTGTCCTCATTTTAAAGAAGAGGAAATAGAATCAAATAGGTTAAGTGTTATGTACAGCATCACACACATCACAAATGGCAGAGGTGGATTCTAACCCAATTCATTTAACCCCAACACAAGCAAGACTCAAGGCAAATGCCAAGTTTAAAAAACAAACCAATTTCACATGTTATGGATACATAACATGTACTTTAGTCATTAACTTCAGTAAAAAGAACAAGCTGAATTGTTTTTTGAAGTTTTAAATGTTTTAACTTATTTTTCATTAAAGGAAGTCCTATCAGCATATTTCCATCAGAGCACAAAGCAAGAACACAATCTATTTTTCTTGTTTCTTAAACTGATACAATTCCTAGAGCAGAACTGTTACAATAACTCAAATTTTAAATGCTCAAAAGAGAAAAACTACAACAGAAAACATGAAGTTGAAACTTTGTTGTTGAACATTCAGTTTAGGCAACATCAACACTATCATAAAGACAAAAAAGAACACAGCCTGGCATAATTACATGTCTGTAATTTCCACAATTCATACTTTGGCTGTACTTCCACTTAAAAATGCTGAATGTACTGTTCCACTTTCAAAGTCATGACGAAACCATAGTACCTTCCAATATGCCCCTTCTCTTTTTTGGAAAATGAATTCATGATTGTCCCAAGATTAAAAATAATTCTTTGTATTTTTGGTTTTTAACTATCTGGCCACCTTAAAAAAACAAAATTAAAAGCACTTATTAAAATTTAATAAGTTAGGGGCTGGGGATTTAGCTCAGTGGTGCCACCTCGCAAGTTCGATCCCCAGTACCAGAAAAAAAAGAGTAATAATTTAGGACTTAAGGAACAGATACATAAGAAAATAAGTCACAAGCAATGCCAAAATTAAATTAACCCTTAGGCTCAACATGAAATCTTATTGTAACATCAAAATTCAGGGTAAGTACTAGGAAACTGTTTTAAATACAATACTTGTAACCAATGCACCAAAAACTAACTGCTAAATAACAATCCTTCATAGACCAGAGAAGTACACTTAGACATGTCATTATACATAGAAGTGCTACAAATCTCTCATCAAATTTATTTGATTTCTACCTGGGGGAGATCATTTAAAGATTTCTAAATTTATAAAATTAAAACTTATATGAATATTCCATTTGCTAAAAACTCTACCTTTCCTCCATTTCTTTTTTATTTTAATTGGAATGTCAGAATAAAAGAAATGCCTACAATCAATGTGAGTTCGAGACCAGCCTGGACTACACAGTGAGTTCCAGGTCAGTCTCAACTACACAGTGAGACCCTGTCTCAAAAAAAAAAAAAAAAAAAAAAAAAAAAAATACCTACAACCCTTTTATGCGATATGGGATTATGTTGCATGTCAGTACTGACAGACCCAAGCTCTAGATCTGCCATCCCTGGATTATGTTACACTGAGTTCCCTGTAAAGGGAGGAGATGGAACATTGGGTGGAGGGAAGAGGAGTCAAAGAGAAGCATTAAATAGTGAGGATGGTGCATTCCTGGTATGCTTAAAGGCTAACTTTAGTCAGAAAGGTCCTGAGACTAATCATGTTCCAGAACAATGACATGGCATCTTGTTTGAATGGCTCCAAAGATTCTTCAACAATAGCAAGTAATACCAGCATTTGAGAAGCTGAGGCAGGAGGATCGCAAAGAATTCGAGGCCTACCTGAACTACATAGTGAGATCCTGTCTCCAAAAAAAAACTGGGTAAAAGAAACAAACAGCATCTCTGTGAAACAGACTAAGGGCTTTCATTTATCATCTGCCCATAGCCGTAGCTACTGGGACCACACCAGAGCCCATCTCCTGCAAACTAAGCACATGTACTAAAACAATGCCCAGATACCAAATTTAATTTCCCAACTGTTAATACCAGACATGAATGAGAAGCAGCATCCTTTCCACGGACCTTAAAATAAACTAAGCACTGCTTTATGTTACTAGCTGCTTAACAGTGTAAGACAAACTCACCAAACGAAAAATAATTCCTCAGGACCCAGAAATCCACCAGAAGCCAGAGTGGGTAACAGCTGTTTCTCTTGTCTGTCATATTTAACCTGTGACCAGTACACTGCCAATCCCTCAGGCAGCCAGTGTAGGAGCCCCTTCACCAAATGGCCCTGGCTTTTTCCGTTTCCCAGATAAATCCCAATGGCTCCATTCCTCCTCATCTCTCTAGGTCCACCTTAGAGGCCCCTTCCTTTATTATTCTCTCTCTCTCTCTCTCTCTCTCTCTGCAACTAGAGCCCAAAAAGAGAATCAGCACTTGGTGACCTTAGTACCCAGAGGCCAGGCGTGATTCCAGTTCACCTGGATCAGGCAACAGAAATTCCCCCAGCACTTTACTACAAAGTCAACACAGCACTGTCTCACTCTTAAATGCCACTGAGTCCTGAAGTGAATATTCGGTGCACAACAGGCTTCTTTCTTCCCAGAACCCTTAGATGAAATGAGGAAGCTAGAAGCTACTCTGCCCTGTTAAACACTAATACTGCATTCCTTCAAATGGCACACAGAAGCTGACCGCGAGAAGTACTAAAGGGGCAAACCAATTCACCAAGACTCATCATCAGCTTCGGAACAGTTCTTCCCGCTGCCTCCTAGAGCTGCTCATCTTTGAGACAGATAAGTAGGAATTCAGGGGGTGCCACAACCTGTGCAGAGCAGGCTCCAAAGACCTCACCACTCGTCACCCAACGAAGCTGGTATTTGTTCTCTAAGCTCTAAACTCAGCCATCGGATTTCTTCAACGCAGGCCCCCTCACCAGATGTCTAACGGTGAAGGCGTTCAGATATTTCAAAACAGCCTACCAGGCCTGGGTCTATTCCTAATGATGCCCATTGAGGGAAGCAAAACGACATGCCCCTAGGTTACCTTCAGGTCACCCTCTAGTCTGTTTTACCAAAACACGCATTAAGATAAAACCCACCCCATCTTTACATTCACCGATCTCGCCACACAGACCTCCAGTCCATCACCGGTCTCCACGCTCAGGTGAGTCTCTCCCTAACACCTGCTTTCTGAGAGGTGTGGAATTTGCGAAAGGGGTCCAGTGTCTCAAGCACTCCCCTAAGTCCAAAGTGGAAAACCACGAAGAAGCTCCCGGCGACGGACTCCGACGCAGGCCTGGGCTCCCTCCGCGGGAAGTCGGGCCGTCCGCCCCGGCCGGGGCCGCGGGACACAAACCCGGGCGGCGGAGGCCAGAGATTTTCCTATCATTGCTATATTATATATGAATTTACTGTTTAAGTAGAATGTTTTCTGGATGGATGTGTCATATTTAAGAAAAAAATAATAATTTTAAATAGAAAATTGTTTTTTATCATTTTTGTTTCATCTTCAAATAGTAAAAAGTTAAAAGTTTTCTTTAACTCTCATTTATAAAATAAGAACTCAATTTTATTCTCTTGGTTTCAGAATTTTTAATTATTTTGAGAATATCCAGTTTAGTGGCTATGTACATTCCATGTCTAATATTTATCATGACA